TTTGCGGCGACGGCAACACCCACGGGCACGGGCAGGGAGGCGGCCAGGAACTCAACTAGGGAACACAGCAGCTTATGGAACACTGGTGATGCTGCCGGGCTCGCCAGAACCAGGCTCTTTGGAAAAACCACTTCGTCTTTGGGAGAAGAACCTCTCGGCTCAGGTCTCCCCCTCCATTTCCCTTTGCTTTTCAAACGTTTAAAAACAAAAACGAGGGGGAAGAAAAACAAAAACAAACAAAAAAAAGAAACACACATTTTTCCGGAAAAGGTGTTGCTCTGCACGCGCCCCCGCGGGCCTCACTGCACGCGCTCGGTGAAGTTCTCAGGGAAGACGCCCCGGCATTTCTCCAGCTCCCGGTGCTGGTTCCAGTCACTCTCCTTCACACCCATGAGCCAGCCTTCATCCTGCGGGAGCACGGGACGGGGATGGGGAGGGAGAGGGGTGCTCCCGCCCATTGGCAGTGTTCTGTCCCACCCCCCTTAAAGGACGCCTCCTCCAGGCAGCACTCCTGTTGTTCACCTGAGACCAAACCAGCCCACCGGGGAGCCATCCCACCCTTCAGCAGGTGGATTTAATAACTCTGTGTCGTTTGGTAAGTCCTCCTCACTGTAGAACGTGGCCTGACTGCGGCCCTGGTCTGAACATATTAAAACAACCCCTCCATTGCCCTGGCAAGGAGCTCCCCATGTCTGGTGCCCACAGAGGACGCATCACTGAGGACAGCAGCTGTCCTTCCGGCCTTCCGCAAACAATGACAGAAAGCTCTGCGGGGCACTGGCCACGTGAAAGTTTCTGGAGTGACCCACCAAGCCCTCCGAGTCAAATGGGCCTTTTGCTTTAATACTGACCCCGCACAGGGGTCATCTCCCGAGGCCCCGATGCCCTCCCTGGCCCCTACCCTGACCCCTGGGCCTGCAGTGACCATACACCCGGTCTGGAGCTGCGGCCATCACCGCCTGGGCAGCTGGGACCCACCTGGGTCTTTACTCCATTCTGCACCTGCCTAGTCCCAGACCCCATTGTGTCCTATCTGAGCGGCTTCTACCCACCCCAGGTGACTCCCACTGCGTGCTGGGGGCCAGGATTCTGCTGAAAACCCCACCCAGCCTGAGGCTGGTCCACTGGGGTGATCAGTGGGGCTTTGGGAGAATCGGCGGATTCAGGACCAGGCCCAGGAAGCCCTAGTCATACAAACCTCCCACCCACTGTGGCCTCAGTAAGTACCCAGGACGCCGCACCCAGGCTGGCCTGGTCCCAAACCCAGCCCTCCTCCCACCCTCAGCCACTCTGACAATTACGTCACGGGAACCTGTAGACGATTAGACAGATCAGAGTCCCAGCAGGCCCCTGGGCCCTGCGGCTGCCACCTGCATATTGCGTGGGCACCCCCACTACACCAGCTGCACCCCACAAAGAAGAGCTCCTGCTGAGGGGCCTCCGTGACCGGAATGAAGCAGTCCAGACTGAGGGAGCAGTCCTGTCCCGGCTCTGCACTGGCCCCAGGCTCAGCGGAGTCCACTCTGAGGACACCCACTAACAAGGAGAGGCCCCAGCAGGAGGAGGGTCTGGAGGACCAGCTGGGGACAGGGCTAGGGGCTTAGGGGTCCCGGAGACCATGGTCCTTGTGGACTGAGCAGGGCTGGCCTTGGGGCGGCATGCGGGACCCACGTGGGGCCAACAGGAGCCCAACAGGAGGGGGAGGCTGCAGGATGGGGGCTCAGGGAGCAATGAGCCTGGGTTCATGTCCTGGGAGGAGGGCCCTGGGGGGGCAGGGAAGGGAGAAGAGGGTACAGAAAGTTTAGAGAGGCAGGCAGAGCCTGAGGGGGGCGGCAGAGACCCAGAGGGGATGGCAAAGTGGGAGCCAGAGCCAGGCAAAGGGAAGGGAGGGAGAGAGGCAGGAGGGGGAGATGACCGGGGGGGTCATGGATGGAGGGGAGGGGTGGAGCGCCGCTGCTGGCCGCGCCACCCGGCCCCAGGCCGGGCCTCACCTGCTCCTCTGGGTTCTGAAAGGGGATCACCAGCACCACGTCCCCAGCCTTGAGCTGCAGCTCGTCCGTGTCGGTGGCTGTGTAGTCATGCTGGGCCTGCACCTGCAGAGGGTGGGAAGAGCTCAGCACCCCTCCCTCTGCGCCCTCGAATCCACATGCAGCCCCGCCCAGGGCACCAGGCCCGACGTGGCAACGCGGTGGCCCAGGAGCAGGTGAGAGCAGCAGACCCAGAGTGGGGCTCAGACATCGCCTTGCCCACTGGGCAGCAGGGGTGGACGGGGTGGACTCTGTGGGCCGACCACCTAGCCTCAGGCCAGGGTCCTCATCTATAGAGGGGGCCCCCCATCTGGTGATGGAGGTGGTCAGAGGCTGGGGGTCAGCAAGCCCCAGCTCACCTTGAACATGAACCCTGGGGGCAGGTCCAAGCGCCCGGCCCCACTGCCGCCCTCCACGGCGCCGTTCACAGTGCCTGAGAAGGTCTCCACCACCACTGCCGGGAGCGAGCTCTGTGGGTGGGACAATGGGTCAGCGAGGGCGGGAAGGGGTCCTGGAGAGCGGGGGCCGCGCGGGCAGAGACGGGGGTGTCTGTGCCTGAGGCCAGACCAGCCTGCCTCCAGGTTCCTCGACAGGAACCGTGACCTGGACCAGCACAGAGCAGGACACGGGGCGGGGAGCCGCGGGCGGCGGGAGGGAAAGACAGGGCCGAGTCCTGCCGTCTTACGGAGGCTGCTTCACTGGCTGCCGTCTCCCCGGGCTCCTGGGCTCCAGCCGCAGGGCGGGTCCCCCCCGCCACCTCCGAGGCCTCTGCTGGCTGCAACACAAATGCCGGTGGGGGGTCAACATGGGCCAGGGCACTGGGGCCAGGACCCAGGACGAGGAGAGGTGCCCAGAGCTGTCCAGGGCCTCTGCTCAGCACGGGGAGCCCCTCCAAAGGCCCTGGCACAGGGAGCAGCTGGAGAAGTGCTGGCAGCAGGGGATGTGCTGCTGGGAACCCAGCTCAGGGCCTGGCTGCCACCCCTGCATCCCCCTTGCAGCCCCTGCCCTCTGAGCCTAGACCCTGACCAAGCCTCAGCTCCCCGCCACCCGCCTGGCTGGCCGGCCCCTCACAGGCTGCTCCTGTGGGGAGGGCCCAGGCAAGGCAAAGGCGGGCTGCCCCGGGCCAGCACTGGAACTCAGCCACTCCCAAGGTCTGGGAGCAGTCACTCCGCCCTCCTGGCCCCTACTTCCTCATCTGGAAAAGGAGGAAGAGTCTAGGTGAGGCCGAAGATTGAAAGAGAATTCTGGGAAGTACCCACCATAAGCAGGAGGTGCTCTAACTGCTCCTCCTGCCCACGTGGGAGGCCAGAGCTGGGAGGCCGGGGTGGGGCTGGCGAGTGGGCGAGGGGCTGACCTGACCTGAGCCGCCCCCCGGGGCCTCCAGGCTCAGGGCCCTCGCCTCACCCTCAGTCCCACGGTGCTCCTGTCCATCCTGTGCCCCCTCCTCGGGGCTTCTCCTCCATGCTACACCCCCAGAGACAGGGGCAGGTGAGGGGCTGGTGGGGGCACTTACTTGGGCAGGCCCCGGCTCGGCCGTCTGGCTGGGCCAGGCCACAGCAAAGGTGCCCTCGGCAGCGCTGGGCTCCCTGGAAGGCAGGCTGCCAGCTGGACTCTCTGTGGGCTAGGGATGGGCCACCAGGGAGAACAGGGCAAGAGGGGTGGGGGCCGGGGGGGGTGTTGGGTGGGGGCACGAGACAGGAGAAGACAGTTGTGAGCGGCCCAGGTTGGCAGAGGGGAGCATCTGGGGGCCTGCAGCCGGCAGTCTGGCCAGAGCCCCAAAGAGGACAGACGAAGACCCCCTGGAGGGACACATACCCCCACCTCCTCGCTTCTACCACTGCCAAGGGGACAGGAGGTGCACACCTGTCGCGTGCAGCCCAGCAGTTCAGCACCAGCCAAAATCTGCTCATGAAAACAGATCTGCCTGCCTGGCCCCAGTGACACCTCCTGGAGCTGAGAGCCCCGCGGCCTGGACTGCTGGCCCTATCACGCCAGCCCCTCCTGTTCCTGCAGGGGCTGTGTTACCAGTTGCAGGGCAAGTCCTCCATCCTCCTTGAGCCTCCAGGTGACAATGACAGTCCTCTGGCAGGCACCTGGCCTTGCTCTGCCTCTCTGCTTCTAGAACCATGCCGCCCTCCCTTATGTCCCAGCAGCTCCCGGAGGCCACTGCCTGGTGGGGTCTCCACCCCTAGAAAGCTGCTCAAGGACACGGACCCTCCACCCCGAGGCTGCCTGCCCACAGGCCTCGGCCTGGCAGGGGGACACCCTATCCAGCCTGAGGGATCAGCTGGTCACCATCTAGGGCCGTAAGAAGCCCTGACCCTGGGCCATAACACGGAGGACTCTTCTCATGTTAAAACGAGCCCCTGCCCCATGGGGCCTGGCTGCAGGCACAGGGTCTCCCGGGGGAAGCAACGGAGCAGCTGGAGACGCGGGCGCCCGGGCCAGCTCCCTGTGTGCGTGGGCACAGCCGTGCGCGCACAGTGGTCTGGCTAGTGCGGGACCCAGCCGGGTGGGCCCGGGACACACAGTGGGGCAGCTGTGAGGGGTGAGCACAGAGCAAACACAGCTTACCTCCCAGAGGTCCCACGGAATTGACTGAGCGCAGCAGAAGGGAGAAGGGCAGAGTTAGCACAGAGGTTAGAGACGGGGACAGGCAAGCAGCCCCAGGGGCCCCATCCCACACTGCCCCAGGTCCTAGAGCCCAGCAGGGACAGGGCAGAGCAGAGCTGGGCTCTGTGGTCTCCAGAGGGCCAAGTCCCGGACACCTTCCAGGGGGCTGAGACCCCATGGCAGGCAGTGCACACACCCGGGGCTGCCACCAGGACGGGACAGAATCCTGAGACAGACTGAAAGCTGCCAGGTGAGTGTTCGGCTGACCTCCTCCTGAGGGTCCTCTGGCTGACCTGTGTCTGCCCTCTCCCCTTCCCCGTGGGCAGGACCAGAGGAGGTGACAAGAGCTGTGGGCCCGGGCTCCGGGAGAGGACAGAGAGTGAGAAGAGAACCTGGTGACACCAGGACCTCCAAAGACACCAGACCCCCTTTAGGCCCACACGGCCGGTGGGCGGACATGAACCCTGGCCCCGGTGCCCAGAGGCAGGCGGGCCCGTGGGCAGTGGTGGGCTCAGACCAACCTGACCAGAGGGCGTGGGCGCCTTCACAGGGCTCGCCACAGGCGGGAGGGGGTCAAAGTCCAGGTCCAGCAGACTGGCCTGCTCCGAGAAAGGCCCCGGGGCCTCAAACTTGGCAGCAGCAGCAGAAGAGGAAGGCAGTTAGCAACAGGCCGGGAGCACTCCCGAGGGCGCGCACAGCGGGCCCGCGCCCCCAGACACACCCACTGAGCACGAGGGCCCGGCCCACGTCACACACCCTGGCACGAGCTCCACCCACACAAGGACATACTTGGGGCCTGCCTCATACGTGGGTCCAGGCAGCCTCTCGCTTGACCAATGCCAAGCCCCCAGCTCTCTCTTCTCCACCTGTGCACACGAGCGCCCCCGACCTCGGCCTCCCTCCAGCAGCAGCCCGGCCACGGCCTGGGCTGGACATGACCACACTCATTCTCCTGGTCCAGAGGGCCTCCAGACAGGCATAGGCCTCCCCTTGCTGCCCCAGATAGACAGGTCACCCTGTGGTGACACCTGCCCCCAGCCAGCTCAGGGCTGAGCCAGCACACAATCTTAAACGTGAGCTCCCCAACACCTGAGCACCATGTTCACGCAAGGGGTCCTCCCCCAGCCACCCCCAAGGATCCCATTCAGCTGGGCAGAGTGCAGCCCAGGGAGGCGCGGCAGCCGGCAGGGCGCGGGGGGCCTGTCCACACTGTGAGAAGCCAGCCCTACAGGAAGGTGAGTCTTTCCCACAGCCGCCCTTGAGGACAAGCCGCGTAGCACCGGCACCAGAGGACATGCTGCCTTCCTAGGAGGAGGGCTGGCTCAACCCATCTCCTGTGAGGGGTTCCCCCGGGGCTCAGGCAGGGCTGTGCCCAGGTCTGAGAGAGCCCCAAGGCCCTCCACCTAGAAGGACCCGAGACCTGGGAGCGGGGGCAGGGACTCCCCAGAGGAGCCTTCCCAGCTGAGCTGCGACTTGTCAGGGAGACCCAAGACCCGCGGTCCTGAGAACTCTCAGTGCCCACTGACCCCCAGCTCAGAGGCCCCGGCATCCTCGCTGGGCCAAGGCACCGAGCTCAGAGCCCAGGCCAAGTAGACTCGCCCCCTGCCCAAGTTCACCCCCAGCGACTGACTCTCCTCTAGGTCTAGCCCTGTTCAGTGAGACAGGGAGGGGGGTCACTGCCGTCTCTAAGGACACGGTGGCGCGTGGCCTCTGGGCGCCCTCCCCCGAGCCGCACGCAGCACTGCTCTCTCCCATGTGGCCCTAACACCCGTCCCCTCTCAGAAGTCAGCCAAGCCCAGGCAGCCGCCTCCTCGTGCTCCAATGGGACAGGGTCACATCCCCCCTGCCCACCTCCCAGCAGGCCAGCCTCCCACCGTGCTGGACCAGAACCGTCCTCGGGGCGGGGACGCAGGCTACTCACCACAGCCCAGCAGAGCAGCCCTGACAGCATGTCGTGGACGGATGAGCCCACCCAGCCCCGGGCAACAGCGCCCACAGCGTGCGCTCCCCAGCCCCGCCGGGCAGAGACCGGACCCCAGGAGTGGACGCAGGGGCGCAGGGAGGCATGCGGGAGCCCAGGGAGGGCCACTTGACCCGGAGGCCTGGCTGCAGGTGAGGCCCGCAGGTTCCTCACCTGTCAAATGGGGACCTACCCCTCCCAGAGGGGACCGACAACCAAACAAGGCCAGGTGGGTCAGCCGCTGGCTCCAGCCCCTGCGCAGCGTCTCCTAGCCCTGGTGTCACCCCGTGTCCCTCCTGTGCACCCTGAGGCAGAGGCAGGTTCAGGGCCTGGAGCATCCCAGCCGCCAGCTGCCCTGGAGGTCGTGGTTTCCCCACAGCGCCGGGAGCACCCCAGCATCACCCTTCTTCCCCCACTGCCCTGTACTGAAAGTTCCTAGTTCTAACCTGAAGTCCCCCCATGGAGGCTTGAAGCCCGCTCACCCCTAAGCCCGTCTTAGCAGAGGGCACTGTCCTCTGCCCCCAACTGCCTCCCCCTCCACAGTCAACCCTCTGTCCCTTCCCCTCCCCTCCAGGCCTCTGAGCTTGTGCCAAGGAGCCCATTGGAGGCAGAGCCCAGAGACACCTAGGCTGCAACTCGGGCCCGCCACAGCCTGGGACGAGTTAGCCTGCACAAAAGGGGAGGCCTGGCATGGACAGGGCCCTGACCGTGGGGCCTGGAAGCCAGGCTTGTAGTGGCCTGGGCACCACAGCCTCTGTGAGCTGATCCAACCACATGCAGCCCACGGCTCTGCTCCCACAGTGACCTGCCTGCTCCGCCCTCCCCTTGACCACCTTGAATGGGCATCAGACGCCTCCTGCGGGCATGTACAGTAGCAGCCCTGCTCTGTGGCCCAGACACCGCCCCACCTCCAAGTGGCTGTCAGCAGCCCTGGGAGCCACCGTCTCAGTGCCTTGCTGGGCTTTCCCAGCTGTGTGTCTGTCACCTCCTGTGCTCTCCGGACACACTGTACTCCCCGGAGGTCCTGAGCCTGGCTCTCACCCCTCCTTGCTCACAAGCTGCTGCCTCTGGCTAAAGCACTACGGCAAACGTCACCTGCTCCAAGAAGCCTTCCCTGATCGGCCCAGGTCGTTCATGCTCCCCACCCCCTCTGGCCAAAGCACCAGTGGAATCGAGAGGCCATTGCTGTGCTGACCGTCTCTACTAGGACGGTTCACCGGGTCCCTGCATCTGGGGCACATGCTCAGAGATGAGGGATGGATGGATGAATAGAGGGATGGATGGATGAGAGAGGGAGGCTCAGGGCCAACCTCTGCAGGGGTGGGATGGAGGCGAGGCCATGCACACCCCGAGAGCGCGACAGAGGGGCAGAGAGCTGGGCCGCGGTGGCCGCGGCTGACCTGGGAGGGGGTGGTCACGCTGATCTCAGGGACAAACGTGTCGTCAAACAGGCTGAGGATCTGCTCCTGCTTGACCTCCTTGGACGGGGTGTGTTTGGGAGGCGGAGGGACTGGTGGGCCTTTCCGGAGCTGTGGGTCAGCAGCGGGTTGGGGGGCCGCAGGGGAGGCACAGCGGAGCACGGGGGTGGGGGAGACAGACAAACAGAGACAAAGCCACGGTTAGTCACGCCCCAGCCCCGGCCCTCTGGCAACTGAGGAAGAGGCACTGCTCCCCAAGACACAGACACCAAGACCACCCAGGATGGGGTACGAGGCCGGAGGTCAGAACACTGCAGAGAGAGGAGCAGGGAGGAAGACAAGGGAGTGAGAAGGAACAGGAGAGAACAGAACAGGACAGAGAGGGAAAGGAGGGCCTGCCCCAGAGGCCAAGGCCGCCATTGCGTGGTCTGGGCTCCCACTGACCAGGGGGAGGCTGGAGAGAGAAACGGGAGCTGAGGAAGGGCCAGCGCCCAGCCTCCCGCCCCTCCCACCCGCTCCGCTCCTGCCCAGCCAGGGCCCCCAGCACACCTCCCTGAGGAGCCGCAGCCCAGCCTCCCCCAGCACCACGGAGGCCTGCATGGAGGGCCGGGAAGATGGTCACACACCCACGTGGGGGACCTCGGGCAAGTCACACCCCACTCCACGCCTGGGTTTCCTTATTTGTCAAGTTGGGGTGATAACAGCCTCTGCCTCGCAGGGGGCGGTGAGGACAACGAATGAAATTATCGAGAGCGCTGGCACCTTCAGGCCAAGAGCACGTCAGAGTAAGTGCCCGACAAGTGCGGGCTCTCAGCACCGCTCTCCGAATCAGCTGGCAACGGGATGGGGCCGACAGCCAAGGGAGCTGCGGCTGGGGGCCAAACGGCCAGGGAAAGCCTAGCTGGGCTCAGGCCGGGCTGCACAGTGGACCCCTGCCTCCTTTTTCCCATTCCAGCTCCCAGGGACACTAAGACACCTGGAGAAACCCCGTGGGGATGGGGGTGGGGGCCAGGCTTCTCCCCATCCCCTCGCTGAGCCCTCCTTCCTGCCGTCCCTTTCAGGGTCCTACAAGGGCCCCTGCAAGAAAGAAGTCGAGGAAGAGAGAGAAGCAGTCGCCTCCGGAGTTCTGGCTGCTCTCAGGGTGGGGGGCCCGGAGCCTGCGTCTCAGGAGCAAAGGAAGACGAGAAAGTCAAGCAGCCCAGAGGCTGGCGAAGAGGAAAGAAGGGGCCACGGCTCTGGATCCAAAGCTGCCCAGGCCCGGGGCAGGGACAGAGGACTGGGAAGCGGGGCTGACGGCAGCACAGGAGGGAGGAAGGGGTAGGACAGGACAGGCCACCAAGACACGTGCCTACCTGAGACGGGGACTTGGGGAGGGCAGCCCCGGGCGTGGCCACGCCGGCTGGCTCGGGCTCATGGTTGACTCTGATCTCCGGGGTGGCGGCAGGGGAGCCGTCGGGTGGCGGTGAGGGGCTCTTGTTCCCTTTCACAGGGGCGTTGTCACTGTGGAGGCGAGACAGAGAGGGAGCCTGATGGAGGGGTTACCTGGGGACCCGTGTGTGGAAACGTGTGTGCACAGGAGGGTGAGCGTGTGTCCACAGAGATGCTGGGAAACTAGGGGGCTCGAGTGTGTCCGCAGACATGCTGTGAAAACAGCACGTCCATGTGCACAGTGTGTCCCCGCGTGTCCACGTGTGAAACCACACGTAGGTGTGCAGGAGACAGGGCGGAAGGAGGGGACGTGGCCCCAGCACGTGGGGACACGCGCATATTCACAGCAGGTCCTGCCCTAGAGGCAGTGACATCACAGGCGAGTCTGAGCTGAGGTCTGCGATCCCAGGGTGCCGAGCAGGTCCAGGAGCCGCCACCAGGGCCTCACCAGCCACCCACCAGCCTCCATCAGGGGGCCCAGGCCCCACAGCACAAGAAAGCCAAACATCCTAGAGGCAAAGTGAGTGTCACCCCACACACCACACAGCAGCCCCTGCACAACCCAGCCTGACCCCACAGGCCTGCCAGTTGGCCTCCCTGCTACCCTCACCCTCACCCAGCACACAGATTCCCCAGCCACACCATGCCATCACTGTCTCCGAGCCCTTGCTCCCACTGGCTCCCCTGGAAAACCAGTCGGAGGGGAGGCCACGGGCAAAGCCAGTGGGTAGCAAAAGAGCGGAGCCTTCAGAGCAGAGGGGTGGGGATAGGAGGGCCAGGTCCCCACCATGTCTCAAGGCCGACAAGGACACGTGGTGTGCACAGCCCGCCACTTGGGCGCCCAGGGGACAGGAAATAAACATCTGTGTTTGAACTTGCATAAAGAGTCTCTGCACCAGTGCTGACTGAGATCAGCTGTTCAAACTGATGTTTAAATTCAACAGAATGAAAAATTCAGCTCCTCGGTCACAGGGGCTACGACCACCGTGTTGGGCAGAGCAGGTCTAGCGACCGCCACCTGCAGGAAAAAGGTCTGGGTGACTGGCGGGACGCACGTGTGAGTGAGGGACACCGCTGGTTCCTTCTCTTTACTGAAGGTGTTTTGTGGGAACGGCTGCCACCCTCGAGAGCGCACACACATCCAGCACACACGTGCACGTAGACTCCCCGCAAACCGCTGTGCCCGCAGCCCCTTCCCTGAGCCCCCAGCTCCCTCTGGCCGCACTCTGGCCCATCTCACTCCCAGGCGGGCCGCAGCCCGAGAGGGACATGCCCAGGCTGTCTGCCCTGATTCCCACTGATGCCCCGCTGCCCCTCCACACACACTCGGCACAGGGCCCGGTGGGCGCTCCGCACACAGGAAGGCAGGTTAGGGGTTAGTGGCGCCCTCGGCGGGGCCAGGCGCATGCGGCCCCACCACGCGGCACTCACTGCCTGTACCTGTTCTTCTTTCTGCGCAGCCGGGAGAACAGTTTTGTTTTCTTTCTGTGGGGACGGACGGGACGAGGGGGCCTTCATCGGGGGAAAACTCTTGCCGGGTGGGGGTTCCCTTCCCTCATCGGCAGCCCCTCTGCTCAGAGGAGCGCTAAGGGGCAAAGCCCCCCTAACTCCAGGAGGCTGTAAGAGGGGACAGGCCCTGTGCTCGGGGCCCTGTCCCATCCCAGGGCCCCCACCAGCCTCTGCATCTTGCCAGGTGCCCTGAGGGGGCACGCACAGAATGAGCAGAAGACAGCGCAGCCCTGAAGCTGAGCCTGCGGACAGTGCTGGCCACCTGCCCTGCCTGGGGTCTAGCCACACAGATGCTCCAGGGGCCCAGCGTGCAGGAAGGAACGGGGTGGGTGGCCCGGGGTGGGGCCTTGGGAGAGAAGGTGACCTGGCTGCCAAACGGGCCCCTCTGGTGTAAAGAAGGCTCACAAGCCCCATGTCCTTCCTCTCCGCCCAGACCAGCCCTGTCCTGGAGCAGCCTGGTCCCAGCTGCCCGCACGGCCGGCCTGGCCGCGCTCCCAACTCCTCGTCCGACCCAGACGCTCCACCGGGACCTCCAGGCCAGGCAGGTGCAATGAGGGAGGCTGTGACCTGGGGAGCACCTCTGGACATTGACTGCCCCCAGGGCACCCCGTGGCCCCACTCGCAGGCACACATGCTGTGTTTTCCAGGGGAAGAGGGGCAACAACGCTGATCGACTATTGGCTGGCTTCTTCGTCCTAGGGAACACTCCAGTTACCCCAGAAGCAGACGCAATCACCCTCTTTGTAGACAAGAAAAGTGGGTGCACTGGTGCTCCCTAGCCTGTGCCACAACTGCGTGTACTGCACAGCCAGAGAGGAAGGGGTCCCAGACCTGCTGTGGCTTCCGCCCCTCCCTCAAGCTCTCACTGAGGGAGGCCGGGCAGGAGGAGGGACGCCGCGGGCCAGGGCCTTGGGCTTCCAGGAAGCCAGCGAGGGGAGAGGCGAGGTCACACCCCGGCTCCACGAGGCCCACTCACTTTCCAAATGCTGGATCATTCAGACCCCAGCCCCCTCCAAAGCTGCCAGGCACCCTGACTGCTGCTCCACAGACGGGAAGGCCAGGCCTGGGCAGGGTCATCTGCAGACAGCCCCTCAGGAGTTCTCCTTGCCCGAAGGGACACACTGGAGGAGGAGGGGTGCCCTGGCCTGAAAGGGGGGACCCCAGGGAAGAGCCTCGCCCCAGACCACACCTGCCCGCCGCCCTCCCGGGGGCGGCACACACCTGGGCTGGGCCTTGATCGTGAAGGTGTTGCTCCCGTGCTGTTTCTCCAGGCTGAGCAGCACGTCGCTGAGGCTCTGGTTGAGCTGCAGAAAGGACAGCCAGCAGGTGAGCAGGGACGGGGAGGGGGGCCACCGGACAGCCCCGCTCTCCCTGATAACACCCCGCCTCTCTCCCTCCACAGGCCCCTCGCCAAGCTCCTCCAGCTCCATCAGTGGGAGCTGGGGACCAGCACACCGGCCCCAGAAAGACGGAGGAGAAAAAGGGAGGAGGACGTGAGCCGCATTGCCAACAGCTACTACTCTGGGAGCCATCTTTCTCTTCTTCCTACTTAAAGGGATTTCTTGAAAACGCCACTTAGCACTTGCCCTGCTTTTCATTTTTTTCCCATTGTTTTTGCACAATAACTGTTTATCCTCATCGTTAAAGCCATCTGCCAAGATGCTTTCAGGCCACATTACAACTGCCAGAGACTTCAGCGAAAGCACACCCCATGCACCGGGGGGTTCTTCACTGGTGGTAGTTCCCTTCATTTTAACCACCAGGCAGCCCACAGCTGAATTTTTCTCCCACTTTACTTAAACAATTTCTTTCCCAAACACTTCTCTCCGTTTTTTAAAAATCTTCATGTTATCTCAAATCTTGGCAGAGAAGAAGGAAGCATAAGGGGAGGGAAGGCCTCCCAGGCAGGAACCCAGACGCGGGCTGGTGGGTGGTCACTCAGCAGAGACGCAGGCTGGCCTTCGGCCCCCTGCCCGGGGCCTGGAACCCACCACGATCGCTTCATTCTTCTGGGCCCTTCTGGGCCCAACGGTCAGACCCCCCACGGCCCAGGGAGGGAGCCCGCTGCCTACACTGTGTTTCTCTAACGCAGCTTTGCAATTTAACTGCCAGCCAGATCAAGATGAAAATAACACAGCACAGGAATTTAAGCTATCGGACCCCTTCTTACACCAGATTCTGTAGATAAAGCAGACCGGATTCAATGTCTTAAGAAACATGAGGAAAATTTTTTAAACTGAGAAAATTCTAGTAATTTATTATCTGCCTACGAATCGTGAAAGTGCCACCATTTACTGACACTGAGCTCCCTGGGCCAAGGCAGACTGAGAACCAACGCGTTCACAGTTGGAGAGGGGCTGGCTCTGTCCCGGCGGGAGAACAGAGCTGGAAGCAGGGAGGGGGTCCAGCTCACAGCCTCCCCAGCAGCTCCCACTGGCCCTGACACTCTTTTCTTTTAGGGCAGGGGCTGGGCAGCTCCTCCCCAAGGCCCAGAGGGGACACTGTGGTCACCAGTGTGTATCTGACCCCAGCAGGGGACGGGAAACTGGGCCCATGCCTCTGCCCCTGGCCCTTGGCAGGTGGACCACTTCCCCGAGGCTCTGAGGCCCATGGGGGTCACTAGGCCCTACCTTACTCATCTCCTTGTGGAAGTTCTCCTCCAGGCCCGCGATGCTCTGAAACGTGTTGACGTAAAAACCTACACGGCTGCAGGAGGGAGGGGAGGACCAAGTGAACTGGCAGGTCAGGGCGGGCAGCCCAGGAGGGCACAGAGCAGAGTGGACAGATGGGAGGCCGGGCACAGCCCGCCACCTCCGTCCCTCACCTGTTCCACAGGGACGGCAGCTCCTCCTGCAGATCCACGTTCATCTCCTCAAACACCTTCTGGGCTTTGATGAGCTCCTCCTCGGCCTAAGGGGCGAGACTGGTCACTCTCTCTGCTGGGCCTCTGTCCCGCCAGCCCTGGCGAGGCCCAGCTCACCCCCAAGACCTGCTCCCCCAATGCACGGGGAACCAGAGCTCCAGGCAAGACGGAGGCTGAACTAGACATGGACACCCAGGCCGACCTCCGCACGCAGCCCCCGGCCCCCTGCAGCCAGGCCCATGGGGGCCGCTCCAGGAAGGAGCGTGCAGGGCAGTCGAGGCAAAGGGAGAACCTCCCATCCAGTCTGGGTGGGCCAGGAAGGAGATGCGGGACGTTGAGGGCACAAAAAAAAACCGCCAGAGTCAAGGGACCCAGGGGGCTGGGGCACCGGGAGGGGGCAGACACCCCAGGCCCAGCCAGGTGGGGCCCCTGCCCACCCACACAGAACCCCTCCCAGGCTACGTGTCAGCCTGCGCCCAGCTCTCTAGAGTATTCCTCTTCCCGTCCTCAAGGCCGGGCCCCACTCAGCCTCAACCACCAGCCAGGCTTCACCTCCCTGGGAGAGTCCTTCCCATCCCCTCCCCTCTCTCTCCTGTGACCTGTCCCCTCCAGACTGAGGCCAGGGACGAAGCTCAGGTACATCAGGGGAAAGACAGGGAAGCGGGCAGAGGAGGAGGGAGCTGGGCTGCTGGGCTGGGCGCCCCGCCCACTCCCAAGACCTCATACCTTCCCCAGGGCAGGCCCTGCACCCTCCAGGCCTGCTCACATCCACGGGGCGGGGGGCACTGAGGCCCCACCACAGAGTCCAAGAAACTTGGGAGTTTGGGGGAGGGATCAGGGGAGAGCAGGGCTGAGTCACAGACCCCGGCCCCAGAAAGGGCTCTGCAAGCTCATCCTGGAGGGCGCTGCTGGAAACAGTGACTCAGGGTCTGAGTCAGGCCCAGGAATGTGGCAGGCCCCGCCCAGGCCTCCTGTCCCCAGGCCAACCGGCCAGCACGCCAAGTAGCCACAGGGCACACGGCTCCCCCAGGCCCACCCAGCGGTCCCACCCGGCTCCAGGCACCGTGTCAGCCCAAGTCCCCTGCTTCCTGTCCCTGCTGTGCCCGTGCTGAGCTGCACTGACTTGGGCTGGACCTGGAGGAGAGAAGCCACCAGGGCTCCTGACTACAGTGACCTTCAGGTTGCTGGAACTTGCTGGAGTGAGCATGTGAGCCCTGCCTGACTTTTTAAAATCTCATTTAAAAATTAAAGGGAGACTAGGAAATAAAAGAGCCATCTACAAGCATGTGTGCCCTGAGGACCCCCTGGAATGGATCAGATCTGGTGTGCCCTCCCGGCCGTGGGCCAGGCCATCCTTGCCTCCCTCCTCTGAGACCCAGAGCCTGATGGAGGGCTACAGACAATGGTTTATAGACCCCACAGGAAATATGACTGCCACACGGACAGCTGTGAGCGTCTCAAATTGCCATTCGCGCTTCCCACCCAAGACCCTTATCCTCCAGAGCTGCTGTGACAGCGCCACTCCTGTGCCCGCAGACACCACCTCTCCATGGGGATCCAGCCACCATCCCATGATGCTGGTCCACAAGGATGACGCTGCAGCTCACAGCTGTGGGCCCCACCCATTCCCACACACCAGCAACACTGCGAAGCATGGGGAGGTCCCGTGCTAGAGTTTCTGAAGTCAAGACCTATGTCTTTTATCCCCTTTGAGTCACATTTCTCATATCTTTGTTCTTCAGAAGCCCTTGGAGGGGGTAGAAGAGAGCTGTCTATGGTTGGGGAGGCCTTGCAGCCCCAGTGGCCCTGCCACAGGCTGACGGACATGGAGATCAGCACTGAAATCGGCCTGCCCACCACGCAGAGGGCCACCAGGGTCCTGCAGGTGGGTTTTAGAAGACAGCAGCTCAGAACTAGCTCGGGGGGCACCTGGAGCTGGTCAGCTCAGGGGAGCAGCCTCGGGAGGTTGTACTGTCTCCCCAGAGTCAAGTCAGCCAGCAGGGCGGCCCCAAGGCCCCAAGTGCCCCAGCTCACAGCCAGTCAGCTGCCTGACAGCTCCCCAGCCTCCAGCCAGGCGTGAGGCAGGGCGGGTCAGAAGTAGAGGCTCAAATAAAAATTGGATCCAAATGGGAATGTCAGTTTGGCCGAAAGGCGAAACATCTGCAGTCCAACACCCAGAGATGAGATCCCGTGCCTTGGCCTCCCCTGTGGGTCCCCCAGGGCAGGGTGGGGGGCCCTCCCAGCACGGTCCTCAACAACACCCATCCCCAGGAGCCCCAAAGAAGTCACAGGCCCCACCCCAGGCCCCACAGTCTCCTGGAGGCTTCCCCTACTGGACAGAAATGTTCACCTGGCCTCCTGCCAAACCTGTTTCAGGGAAAATAATGCAGAAACCCTGGCTGTGGGTCAAGGGCTCCATTCCCCCTCTAGACACAAGTCCTGCACTCAACCAGCAGGACAGGCCAATTCCAGCCCCTTGGCCCCCCTCCACCTCCTACGGCAGAGGAGGACGTGGGTCTGTCGAAGACCACCCCCTCAGGGGGCTCCCCAGACCCTGGACGGGTGAGGCTGTCAACTGCTCAGTGCCTCCAAAGTCAGCCCACAACTCTGGCCTAAAATTATTCAGGCAGCAGGTCAGGTAAGAGATTGGACCACAAGCCCACACTGAGCCCAGAGCTCACCACACCCCAGGCACTCAATACACGTGGCTGGAGGATGAAATCAGAAGGTGGCCCAGAAAAAAGGAGCCAGCTGCCCAGAGAGAAACTCAAACTCCTGGATGGGGCCTCTGCCGCCTGCTCCCACCCCGGGACCGTGAAGGGGTGCTGGAGTCATGCCAGTTTCACTGGAGAGAAAAGCACAAGGGCTCCTCTCCCAGGGCACCACATCGTGGTGCCTGGCCACCCTGTGCCCACCCAGGACCTGGCCCATTCTGAGGGCAGGGGGCTGAGAAGAGTGAAGTCTTGCCAGGATAGTAATATCACGCAGGAGTTTTGAACAAAGAGCCTCCTCCAGGAAGCCCACCGTGATGTGGACTGTGTGCCCTCCATGAAACTCCCAAAGAGCCAGTCCTCCAGGCCCCAGGTCTCAGCACCCTAGCCAGACTGAGGAGCCTTCCCAGTGTGCCCTCCAGGGGCAGGAGGTGCTGCCTCTCTGGGCAGGTCTGTGCCCTCAGTGAATTCAGGATAACCTCACAGTTCCTGTGGGGCTTGAAGGACAACACATGTCAGGACAGGAGCCCTAAAGACAACACGCCCCTCCCCGCAGGAGCCCTCATGGAGGTCAGAGGCTCCGAGACTTTCCTGGGTTCCTAGAGGCCAGGATGTCAGAGTCTCAGGACTACCGGAGAGCCGGGCACCACGCAACAGAGCTGGGCCCAGCCCAGGCCAACCAGAGCCCCCAGCCTCCATCCACCTCCTCCGCTGGCCCTCAGATCTCCTCAGAGGTGGGAGTTTCCCAGCAGAGACACTTGAAAACAGCCCTGCCTCCCAAGCCAGGAAAGAGGCCGAGCCCTCCCCCACCTCCCCAGGCAACTGGGCAGACGGGCGCCCAGCACCAAGGACAGGACAACAGACCAGAAGGCGCCAGCACGTGCAAGGTTAGAAGCCAGTGTCACCTGATTTCGGAGCAGGTTAGTTTGAGCTACGAGGTGAGCCTGCAGTTTGCCTTGACACCACTGGGGGGCGGCTTTCTCAAGCAGCGAGACAGGCTGGGGATAGGGAGGGAGTCAAGGCCAAGGGGAGAGAAACGGGAGGGAGGTGGGGAGAGAGAAACAGAGACACAGATATTAAACACCACGTCCAAGCGTCCCCAGTGCAGGGACAGACAGCTGGCCACCCCTCCAGAGGGCCAGCCCCCCACCACCCACAGCACAGGTAAAGACCCCCTGAGGCTGAGAGAGTTAAGGGGAGCCCCAAGCAGAGCAGGGTGGAGAAGGGTGAACTCCAACTGCAAAGCAAAATGTGAGACTGGTTAGCAGGGACAGAGGGGCTCAGCAAGCAGGGTCCTGCCTTCGGTGGGTTAGACCCTCCCCACATCACGTCAGGGGAGTGTCTGCCCCCCACACCTGCTTATTCAGTTGAGCCGGGGTCACATGGGATCAGATCCCAGGACGGAATTCCACTCCAAGCTCGCCAGGCCAGGAGGGGCGGGGCCAGGGTAACCCAAGCCGGGCCTGTTCTCGCTCTGAGAAGTGGCCTCAGAGCAGGCGCGGGGGCCAGGGGACAGGGTGGCACCATAGGGTGGGCCCACGAGGGCCGCTCACTCACTGGCCCTGGGCCCAGCGCCATCACGAGACCAGGGACTAGGGACCAGGGACCAGTTGGCGGCTGTGAATCCAGCTGTAAAGAGGGTGAGGATTCCTGCCCACCAGGGGCACTGCTCTGGGCCCCTGCTGTGACTCCCTGAAGATCCTCCCCACCACCAAAACCCCACTTTCCCAGCCTTACCTTGGCAATCTTGGCCTCATCCTTCTTTTTGGCGGTCTGTAGGGACTCATAATGGTGCCGGGCACTGTCGTAGTCCACTAGCTTCCGCCCGCGCTTGGCAATGCGTGACTGGGGGACAGAAGGAAGAAGAGGGGGTTGAGCAGGGCCCGGCACCCCTGCCATGATGCTGACCCAGGCGGGGCCCAGGGAAACTGGGTCGTGAGCCCTGGACCTACATGAGCCCAGAGGGCTCAGGGCAGCGGACCCCAGGCTCGGCAAATCCATCTAACGTGTGCTTGAGACATTGTTGTTTGAACATTTCTGGGGGCAAGAAGCCCCCCTCTTCAAGGCCGTCCACACCTCCTGTGGTCCTTCCCAAGACAGAGGACCTTGTAATAATGACTCCACTTTTGTCAGTTGCCACCGGCCAGGACTGTGGGGCAGGCCTCTTCCCTGGCCTCCTGGGCCTCAGGCCTCCCTCCCCCTGGGCCACCACCAACCTCCCTTCCACACTGCCTACAGGCACCTCTGGGAGCCTGAGGCATGTGCACAGGGGGCTGAGGGGGCCAGCATGGAACATGACCCCCTGGGGATTGGGTCCAGCATGAACTACAGTCACCCCTGAGCTCCAGACAGCTCCTCTTCCCCATCAGGAGCCCCGGGGTCCCACTCTCCTCGGTGAGATCCTGGCACACTGACAACTGCTAACCCACTGGGCCCAGCAAGCTTCCTGCCCCGGCTGCTTTCTGAACACGTGTGAGCACACAGACACGCCCAGGTAAGCGGCCACGTGCACAGCTACATAAACACTCCCCTCCCAGCACACACAGCCCCGCACGGGGCACCTTCAGGCATTCACGCCCAGGACTTCCAGCCCCTAATACGTCACTCCACAGTGACACGGCCACCCACGGCCATGCACCGTGAGTTCTCTTATGGGCCCCAAAGCTTCCAGCCCAGAAAGGCCCAGGTCTGGGGGCTCAGAGAGAGCTGCCCTGGAGAGGTGAAGTGCCAGGCGAGTGCAGGCCAGCATCCAGGCCAGTAACCTCAGGGCTTGAGCCAGCCCTGGGCTGCCCCTTGCCCACCAGCCCCTTTTTCCCTCTCCAGCTACCCGACACAGGCTGCGGGGCCAGAGCAGGGTGGACCAACAGAGGCGTCTCACCTTGATGTCAGGAAACTGACCCAGGTATGTGTCCATGGTCAGCAGTGCCTGGTCCACCAACTTCTGGTGGTAATCCATCCAGAGCAGGTCGTTGTTCTGAAGGAGGCAAGAGCACGGGAGGGTCCCACCAGGGGAACTGGGCCACACCCAACCCAGCCCTCCCCTCCCGCGGACCTGGGGGTCAGCCCTGGCCCCATCACTTCACAGCGTGGTGGCTTCTCAGAACCTCAGTTTTCTCATCTGTGAAATGGGGGTAACCACGCCTGCCTTTTCACAAGGTGACGTGAGGATCAGACAGGCCCAGGGCTGATGGGGCCAGGGGAAGGCTTTCTGAGGCCAGAGACACAACACAGAGGGGAGGGGTGGCCTCAGGACATCATCAGAAGAGCCATCTCAGTGTGAGAGCCATCAGAGGAGAAAATGACCCTCGGAGAAGGGAGAGGACTTGCCCAAGAGCACACAGGACTGAGGACCAGAAGGACGCGGAGGGTGGGCCAGCTAGGCTGGCCAGCTGAAGCCGGGGGGCCCTCGGGGAAGGGCTGAACTCCAGCCCCGCACTCACCTCCGCGATCTTGTTCGCCTCGTCCCTGCCAGGCCAATCAGGCTCGTACACCTCCTGCAGACACTCGTTCAGTTTCTTGGAGGCCTCGTGCATGGCTGTGGGGCAGGAGGGCCATGCTGCAGCCAGGGCCACGGGGGCCCCTGGTCGGGAGATAGCCTTGCCCCCATCCCCAAAGGCCCAGGAGGTCGGTGAGTCTCCACTGACGGCCCGAGCCCCTACCACAGAGCCCGCTGCCCTTCCCCAGCTCCGCACCATCAGCTCCAGAGGGAAAGGCCCCTCTTTGAGACCCAGGCCACGTCTGTCCCTTACCTTTGACTGAAGTCAGGTAAGTCCGGAGATCCTTCTGCAGCCGGGTGCCCTCAGTCTGCAAAGAGAAAGACAGACCATGGTGAGGGCCTGGGGCACAGCCAGAGCTGCCCTCTTCTTCCCACAGGCCCCCGTCCATCGATAGTGGATGGCTGTCCTGACCCAGGCATCAGGGGGAGCCTACAGAAGACCAGACGGGCCAGTGCCCCCAGGCTGGAGCACAGCGGCTATCACCTGTCTGGCCACCGACACATGCTGGGTGCCCGTCATGATCTGGGCATCTCGGGACCCCTCTGCCCAAAGGGACACTCATCCCAAGTTTGTCAGCACCTGCTCTTCCAGGCACTATTCTCAGCCCCGGAGGGGAGGCAGGAAGGCATCCCTCCACCCTGTCCAAGATGCGGGGGCGGGGCCACCCTGCACAGGGTCACCCCAGTACCCTCTCCCGTCCCCGTCACACAGTCCCCACCACCACCCCTACAGTGTCCTTAGAGCTCCGTGCATCAATTGCGCATGGGGGCCGGCACCAAGGCTGAGGTTCCAAGACTTGCCAGGGTGATGCAGGCACCTGGAAAGCCAGCAACACCTCCAAGGCCTGGGCACTCAGGCCCCAGTGTGTTGAATGGGTCATGAGTTGCCTGTGTGTCCTGACAGATGCCTCCATGGGACCATAGAGACACCACACAGGGAGGACTTCAGAGCATCGAGTCAAAAAAGGAAACCCTCTCCAAAAGTCCTTCAACCCCCACAGAGGACAGCATAAAACCCCAGCCACACATAATTCTTACAAGCATCAAAATTTAAGGCGTGCTGATTAAAGATTAAAGGAAGAAAAGAAAAGGCCAAGCCACAAGCCTTCAAACTCCCTGGCATTCCACCAGGGATCGCCTGTGGGCCCCAGGGGACTGGGGAGTCAGGAGGGGTCCGCCCTGCTCTGGAGGCAGCCTGCCTAGGCTTACCAAGTAAATGTTCTGGTGGCAGAGATGAGGACTAAACAAGGCCCTACTGCACAGCACAGGGAACTATATTCAATAGCTTGTAATAACCTGTGATGGAAAACAATATGGAAAAGAATAGATACGTGTAATTGTATCACCTTGCTGCACACCAGAAACTAACACACTGTAAATCAACTATACTTGAATTTAAAAGAAAAAATAAGAATATGAAAGCAAGTCTATGTATATTCGTATATGACTGAAAAATTGTGCTGTATGCCAGAAATTGACACATTGTAAACTGACTATAAATAAATAAATAAATAAATAAATAAATAAATAAATAAATAAATAAGAAAGAAAGAAAAGAAAAAATAAGTGTGTTTGTGATGCAATGCTATTGTACTCGTCTGACATCACAGAATCTTCCAGACCCAGCTTCTCTTTCCACCAAGGCTCCATCATCTTGCTTCCCTACCCATTGTCCCCCAGTGTCTTGTACCAGAGGAGGGGTCGCCCTGGGGAAGGTGGGGGGTGCTGCACTCACCCAGGCTTCAGGCTGTACCAGGGCCCCTTGTGCTTCCAAAACAGGGACACACTGTGAGCAGCCACTCTGGGCACAGATGTGCAAGGGGCCGCCCGGAGCCTGGCCTCCCCGCTGCCAACTGCAGCTGGTCCCAGGCCCCGCTCCCCGGTCGGTCCCCAGTGCCTGCCCCGGGGCTCCCAGCCAGCTGCCTCCTGCAGGGCAATGCCCAGGCCGCCAGCACAGAATGTGTGTGTTCCCCTCCGAACTGGCCTCCGGAGGCTCCTGGGCGCTAACACATGCCTGGCAGAGCAGCTGGGGGAAGGGGAAAGTCCTGCAGCCGCTGCCCCTCAGCCTGCTCTCCGGGCTCTGGACTCAAGAGTCTGGAAGGGCACCACAGCCCAGGACCAACACCAGGCGGGGCTCCGCAGGGCAGCTCGGCAGGTACCCCACATCCTCGCTGTACCTCCCACAAAAGGCTATCCCCCGCCTTCCTGGCATCAGCCCCTACTGGTGGCCTGAAGACCCAGGCCCCCATCTTCCCAGTGAATCTAGAGGGCAGGGAAGTCCCCTTCTGCACAGACTGCCTCTGGCTCCAGCTGCCTCCCGTGGCCCTCTGCAGGCAATGCCAGAGCATCTTCACTCCATAGCCAGGGAGGCCCACTCAGAGCAGAGCCCAGGGTGGGCTCTGGGGGACCAGCAGGAATCAGACCTGCCTCACCTCAGTGACACACAAACAGCCAGAATGAGCCCTGGGGTGCAAGGTCCAGGCGGCCCCAGGAGGAAGAGCTTGGGCCACCTGGCTCCCAGGAAGGCCTGAGCTCGGTCTGGAGTACTCGGGCTGGTGGGGTACAAGTGGGCTCCCCAGGGTTTCTCAGTGCAGGGACTGAGGGCAGCGGTGCCGTGACTAGCATTGAGTAGGCCCAGAGGGGCTGTGCCAACTGGGCCCTTGTGAAAGCAGATGACACAGGGTGACCTACACCCTCTCCTAGGGTGCACCCTCATAGCAAGGGATGGGAGATTTGCTTCCTGGAAGCCCAAATTTCCTGCCACCCTCGGCCCTGACTGGCACTAGGCCCACTACGCTCAGTGTTCCCAGATGAGGCGGGGCTCCTCGTGCTGTGGCTTCACCTTACCTTTCCCAGGGGCCCCCAAGCCCTGCAGCTCCTTGAATTCACTCCCTCAAGAATAATGACCTTCAACTTTTCTAAACCCTGACCCCCTCACCCCCAGGCCCCTGTCAGTCCCACACACCAATCAAATCCAGAACTGCCTAGCAGCCTTAAGCCCTAAGGGAGGGTGGCCCTGAGCCTCAAATGAGACCTCAGATTTGCCCACCCCTGCTTTCACCCTTGGCCCCTGAGAAGCCGACCACCCCGCCCACCCTGAAGGCAGACACAGCACCAGGTCAAATGACTGTCCGTGTCCACAGCCAGGGAGCCACAAGCAGCCCCCAGCACTGGTTATCTTTAGCCCTGGCCTCACTCCCCTGCCCTTCTGCACGAGGATCAGTGAGCGACTCCCTGCCCAGGGCCAGGGACCCAGAGGGGGTGACTCTGAAAGGCGAGCGGAGGGAGCAACACTCTGGTCACAGCTCTGGGGCCAGCCGCAGGGAACATCAGCTCCCAGACCTTTCACCAAACAGCCCAGCCCATTCCATTCCCTCACCCCGGGGCTGCAGCTCAGGAGCTGCCCTAACATTTCTCCTCCACTCTGCCGTCAAGACTGGAGCTCAGCTCCAAGAGTGGGAACCTGAGAGGGGACAGATCTGGATTTAAATCCCCAAGCCCCAACCCCCAAGCAGCTACGTGGCCTGGGAACCTCTCTGAGCCTCAGGTCCCTCCTCCATCACATGAAGAGAATATTAGCGCCCACCTCAAGGCTTGGAGGCTCCTGTCTATAAAACAGAGGGCACTACCAGCCCCGTGGTAGGAACTCAAGTAACGGCAATTCCCTAAAAGGGTTTCAAAGCAGCTGGCAACCCGGGGAGGCCAGCTGAGTAAGGGGCAGGCCTGGGCCTTCCGGGGGACAGAATCAGGAGGGAGGACTTCATAGTTTTTGTTCAAGCCTCCACTGCGCAGGTGAGAAAACTGAAGCCACGGGGCAAGGGCTCACCTGAGCCACACAGACAGTAGATGTCTCTGTGACGGGCCTTGAAACACCTCCCCTCACTGACCTGGGGGACGAGCAGCCATGGAGGCTCCCATCCCTGCTCTGGGGAGCTTCTCTGAAAGGCAGGGTGGACCTGGTCCTGGAGCCACTCCCAGCATGCTCCTTGCCAGCCGCTCTCCCAGCATCGCCCCCTCGCCCCTCTCCCAGCATGCCTCCCCGCTCCCTCATCTCCCAGCATGCTCCTTGCCAGCCCTCTACTAGCATTCTCCACCTCAGCCCTTTCCCAGCATGCCCTCCTCCTCCCTCTCCCAGCATGCTCCCCGCACCCTCTTCTCCCAGCATGCTCCTCGGCTCTCTCCCAGCATGCTCCCCTGGCCTCTCCCAGCATGCTCCCTGCCCCTGGCCAGTGGGCTGAGTTCTCCAAAGGAGGCCCCTTCACCCCAGGATTCCATTCCAGCTGCAGAGACATTGGGGGCACCCTCAGTGCTTTCTGAGGCTTCAGATGTGGACAAGGAGCAGGAAGAGGCCTGGTCCCTCCGGCCTCCAGTCTGAGCCCACCTGGCCCCTTTCCTGACCTCACTCTCCATGACCACTCCCCTCTGCCTTCCCTCACTGGGGCTGGTCTGCAGAAGCCGTGGCCCAGCTCTCTCTCCCTGCCTCCTTGGCCATCCCCAGAGAGGGGAAATCTCCAGGGTCATTTCACTCTCCCTCTACTGTCCTCGGACTCAGCCACCAAAGTAGCTTATTCTAGACTTAGCAGATCTGAGGGGGAAGGTCTCAGGTACAACCCTGCTGAGATATTTAGAGCCCTTTGGTCAGGAAGCCCTCCCTTGAACCTAACCACCACCCCCAGGCTGACAACATAATCAAGGCCCTTCTGCTTCCACCCTGGCCCAGAAAAGGAATGGGCCCTTCTCCCTGCAAGGAGGCCCTTCAAGTCCCTTGCAGTCTTCAAAACCAGACGAGTATGGGTTTGAATCCTGTCCCAAAGCTGGATGCCCTTGGGCAAAGTACACAACTTCTCTGAGCCTCAATAGCTGCCCCTCTACAAAAGAGAACAATAATACCAGCTGCCTTACAGGGGGGTCGAGAGGCACCCACAAGCCTTCCACAAATGGCCCGGCCTGAAACCCACCACTCAGCAGGTGCCCAAACCAAATCTAGTCCACTCTGCTCCCATATTAAGCCCCGCAGACACACTCTCTTCATGAGAAGGTTCTAAGGTTCCCTCTTGTCTGGACCTTCAAGGTTTTCCAGAGCCTGGCCACAATCTACTGTCTGCTCCTGCACACCTGATATCTTACAGAGGCCCTCAAGTACACCCCTGCCCCTCCCTCCTCTTTCCCATGGTTCACATCCAGCACCAGTGCTCCCTCCTCCAAGAAGTCTTCCATGACCTCACCAGCCCACTCGAATCCTCCTCAGGCTCCCCTACTCCACAACTTCAGCTCTTGACATTCTCCACCTGGCAGCCACAGTTTCACTGTGCTCTCTAAGGCCGGCAGCCACCCCCCGACACTCACCAGCTGCTTGTTGAAATTCTGGACACACTGTTCAAACTGCTCATCCTTTGTCTCATCCGCCTTCCCCAGTTTCTGGAGGACCTGCCGAGGCAGAGGGAGAAGGGAGGAGTGTTACCCTGAGGAGAGTGGCAAAAACCACGAATGTCCTGTCACCAATCCCGCGGAACCCTCCCCACCCCAGCCAAGGTCTGAGAGGCCCACAGCCAATGTCACGCAGCCCAGGGCACTGGGCACGTTGGGAGGCCTTGTGGCGCTGTGATCTCCAAGGGCAGGACTGGGTCCACCGATTCTTGAGACCTCTCCACCCTCTACACAGGGCTCACCCATCAGCCAGGAGGAGGAGCTTAGGACAGGCTTGTAGTCATCGAAACCAGGAAGAGGAGGGCTTCACCAACAGTGTGAAGGAAGGGGCACCCCTCCCAGCTGATCTCACTCCGCACCCCTGGGTGCCCCACCCCTACCCTGGTGGCTGAAAAGTGAGCTGAACAGCAGAGAGGCCAGGAGGGGCAGCTCCCCTCCAGACATGACTCCACCTCCCTCCTGGGCCCAAGGCTCACAAACACCAGAGGGAAAGGCGGGGGTGGGGGGGACCACCCCAGGACGAAGAGGGCAGGGAGGGCTGGTGGGAGGGTGGGGGGGCCTCTGGCTGGTACTAGGAGTCCACTCCCAATATGATCCACTCCAGGCCACATCCAGACTCCCTCCCACCCCGGCACCCACAGTGACACACACACACACACACACGGGCTCACGGCCACATGCTCTACTCCCAAAATCTCAGAGGCAGACTGTCCCCTCTGGTGAGTCACAGCTGTCCCTTCTCTGCTGTCTCATAGCAGAGGACGTGGAGGGCGGAGGAGGGGAGATGGGTGGGTAAAGGCAGAGAGAGAGAGAGAGAGAGAGAGAGAGACCCGAGGCCAGGAGAGAGGGAAAGACCTAGAAAACATAGGAACTGAACCAGGAGCCTGAGAGGCGCCTGACCAGAGGGCTGGCCCACCAGGTCCTCCCAGATTCCCCTCTCTCAGCTCTTGCTCCCTCCTATCCTGGAGAGAAACTTGGGGAGCAGGAGAGAGTTGAGGGCAACAAGAAGAGAGCAAAGAAAGAGAAAGACAAGAGATGGGGATACAGTGAGGCTGAGAGGGAGTGAGCTTTGCAGGGAGAGAGGGAGGCAAAGGCCCCCTCCACAGGCCTGGACAGGCACCTCCACCGGAAGCAGAAAGGGCAACACTGAGGCTATGGCCAAAACCCAACAAGAGTGAGAAAGCGGTTGGTAGTGGGTGGGGGTGGCAGGTGCAGACGGAAGAAAGGTGGGGGTGGTGGGTGGAGGGGGAAGAAAAGTGGGCCCCGGGCAGGGCTGAGATGAGGATGGGCCCAACAGGCACAAGGAGACTGTGAGCCAGCCCAGCAGCTGTCCGGGCCAGAAGGTCCCCTCAGCCGTGTCCTCCCTTCAAAGACCCTGAAGTGGGCTACCCTGCATGGAATGCCAGGCCAGGGTCCTGGACCCAGGGATGCCCATTCCCAGAGCAGAGCCCAAATACTTCCTACCCTGACTGGTCCTAGGATGCCCTGTGCTGCCCTGCTGCTCTGTCCCCAGCTGCCCAGGAACCACAGTGAGGCCAGTCAGCCCTCTGACCCCCTCTCTCTCTTCATGTAATGCATTTGGCCAACTCTTGCCAAGCACCTGCTCAGGGTGCTTGGGCATCTCTGCTGGGACAGCAGATCCATCGGACACAGGTCCAGTCCCAAGACACGGAATCCACGAGACTGTGGGAGCCCAGGTTGGAAATCCTATCCAGCTTGGGCAATCAGGGAAGGCTTCCTGGGGGAAGTGGCAGCTCAAACTGAGGGGAAGGCTTGCTGCAAAGGCGAGACCAAAGAGATGAGGTCCACGACCAGGGAATTTTGAATTGCTCAAGGTGACTAGAAGTCACAGAGGATGGAGAGGAAAGGTGAGAGTGGCAGGGGGTTGGGAGGAGATTAGGGGGGGGCGGCCGCCAACAACTTTGTGCTATGACAGTCAAGACACTGTCCATTGGGCAAGTGCAGCTGGATGCCAAGCACTGACACTGAGCTGAGAGGAGAAAAGCAAAACTAGACAAGGACAAGCAAGAAAAGGGCATGTCCCTCAATCCATAGGCTCCCCTACTCCCCTTGGCAATCAGGCCTGGTGGGAAACAGGGTGGAGCCGTGGAGGTGCCTGGTCCGCTCGGCACTGAGCACAGGCAGTTGACTTACCCTCGCCAACACCCGCCCCACAGCCCCACCATGTCCAAAGACAGAAACGGACCACCAAGGGTGAGAAAGAACTTCCGGAAGTCAGCAGGGGCCACCAGAGTGAACCAGAGGGTCCCAGGAAGCAGGGTCAGGGCCTGGGTGGCCCCCTGCCTCTCCTTCTTCCCAAGGAGATGCACCCGATCAGAGAGTCCCCAGTCCCCGCCCTACCAACAAGGCTCCCGAGGCTTCCAAGGCCCCGGGATGTCCACACAGACATGCACGCCTGGCCCCCATCCTCAGAGAGAGCTGTGTGGTCCACCCAGACAGCTGAAGCCTCCAGGGAGGCCTTCAGGCCTTGAGAAGGAGGCCGGCCGTGGTGAGACTACGCCAGCAGCAGCAGTGAGGAGGACCTTGAGGAAAGGGACTCTTACTGTCTCTCTGAGCCTCAAGCGCCTTGTTGGAAAATAAAGAGAACATCAGCGCCCACCTTAAGGCTCATGTCGTAAAGCCCATCTCTGTACCTGGCCCATAGTGGGGACCTGAGTACTGGCGATCCCCTAAGAGGCTTTCCGAGCAGCCTTCAAACAGCTGGGGGCCGAGCCCCACACTGACCCACCCTCTCAGTCCAGACTGATGGTAGCCCAAGATGCTAGACACTCTGTACTTGAATGCGTGTGCACACCGCAAACTCCTATTCATCCTTCAAAATCTTTCTTAGCAACACCTCCTCTGCAAAGTTGCCCCTCCCTTCCCCCTCCTCCACCTCACTCTGTACCACTTAGGACCTGGGACCAGCTCCCCTCATTGCAGAAGTGTCTGCCTCTGGCCCTGCCCAATCCTGAGCAGCCTGAGGACAACGTCCAGCCCTCTCTGTGACCCCAGCTCCCTAACGGGGCTTGGCACAGGGGAGACACACAATGTGTTCTCATCAGAGCTGTGAACTTCGAAGGTAGAGTCATGACCTTGAACAAAACAGCCCATCACTCAGCCTCAGTCTCCTGTTGTGTAAAATGGGAGGATCGCATATGGAAAGTACTCAGCCTGACACACAGACGTCCCAGAGCAGTGAACCCACAATGAAGGAGCAGGGACACCATCCAAGAAGCCTTATCAGGGCCACTGTGTCTGCCCTCACCACACTCTCAACTCAGCCAGATAGGAGAGGGGCTGAAATGCCTCAGAAGGAGCAATCCAGGGCAGAAAGAGGAGGGGGCTTGGGGGCAGAATGAACGTCCTTCCGACATCCACCTGCCAGACTCTCTGGGCCTGGGCTGTGACGGGCCGGCAGCCCCTCCCTGGGTGGGGCGGGAGGCCCACCAGGACATGACTGAGCACCTCTAAGGCAAGAGCTTCCTGTGGCCCGAGTGCTGCGGGGCAGGAAGGGGCCCTGCCTGCCCCAGCCCTTCTCACAGCCAAGAGCATCGACCCTTCCAGCTGCTCCGGGGCACCTGACCAAGCCCTCTCCTCCCAGCTGGCCAACCGCCCCAGGACACAGACAAGCCCACGGGGCCCACGCGCCTCCCCACACACAGCCACCAAACCCAGAGAGACAGAAAGGCCCCCCAGGGCCAGTCCCATTGGGACGAGGAGCCACCCCCAAGCACAACACTTTACAGACACCCCTCGCCCCTCCTCACAGCAGGTGTCTTCACCTCCAGGTGACAGGTGGCAAGTGAATCAGGACACACAGCCTAAGACTCACAGGAGCCAGCACAGGGCTGCTCCCAAGCTCCACAATTGGAGGAGGGGCACCCGGTCGACCTGGCCCCCTCCCAGCCACCCCAGCATGGCCGGCGCAGGGCAGAGGACAAGTGTGCTGGCACCCACCACCCCTGACCCTGGAGGCCCCTCTGCGAATGCTAAGCCCTGAGTTCCAGGCAACCCTCTTCCAGAGGCTCTGACCCCCCACCCCCCAGAGAGTGGCTGGGGCCCCGCATTGGTGGGGACACCGGCCCACATCTGAACTGCATGGCACAGGGCAGGAAGAACGCTTCAAGAGCTCTCCTAGAGAGCGGCTGTCCACCCCTCACCCAGAGCACCCCCGGCACCCCAGCCCTCACACTCGCACACACAAGACGGCCTCGTCCCGCTCCCCCAGGCACCCACCACCCAGTTGCTGAGACTCCAGCGGGCCTTCACCTTCCTCATTGTCTCCCAGAACCTCCTTGGCTACAGCCTGTGTCGAGGCTGGTCCCACAGTGAGCTGAGCTGGGGCGTCAGGCGTCACCAGCACACTTCCTCCTCTCAGCAGAGCCTGCGGTCCGGGGACCGCAGCGGCAGGATGCTCGTCCTGCCACAGGGACTCCCTGGTAGGCGGGGGGGATGCAGACAGACAGATGCATGGGCAGGATTTCCCACGGATCCCCCAGCACATACAGCCAGGACTGTTTTGAGGGGGACACCCAAAAAGGCAAAAATGAGGAGGAGGACTCCACAATGGAGCCAAAGGCCACTGAGAGGCTGAAGCTGCCCCCACCCCCAGGTACACATGCCCACAGCCTCAGGGGTTTTCTGGTCCCTTCCCTGACACCCCAGGGGGCTCCCCGAGTGTCCCCCGCCACCTGCTCCATCCCCTTCTACACACCTGGAGGTCCCAGGCAGGAGAGCTGGGCAGACAGCCAGCCTCAAGGTCCTCCCACCCTGATGCTGCCAGGCCCCTGGCCCCCTGGGATGGATGCCAACCACAGAGTGGCCCGAGCCTGTCCCCTCCTTCCTCCCAACCCTCCAGTAACCCAAGAGCCGTGTGGGCAGGCCTCAGCAGAGCAGGGGCGGAAGAGAGAGAGGTGAGCCCCCAGGCCCACCAGGCGCTGCCTCTGCACCCGCCCACTTCCAGTTTGAAGCCTAAACCACACAGCCAGTTGAAAGCA